TATCATGTGTATTTAAAAAATTGGGTATCATGTGTATTTAAAAAATTGGGTATCATGTGTATTTAAAAAAATTGGGTATTATGTGTATTTAAAAAATTGGGTATCATGTGTATTTAAAAAAATTGGGTATTATGTGTATTTAAAAAATTGGGTATCATGTGTATTTAAAAAAATTGGGTATTATGTGTATTTAAAAAATTGGGTATCATGTGTATTTAAAAAAATTGGGTATTATGTGTATTTAAAAAATTGGGTATCATGTGTATTTAAAAAAATCGGGTATCATGTGTATTTAAAAAATTGGGTATCATGTGTATTTAAAAAATTGTGTATCATGTGTATTTAAAAAATTGGATATCATGTGTATTTAAAAAATTGGGTATCATGTGTATTTAAAAAATTGGGTATCATGTGTATTTAAAAAATTAGTTATCATGTGTATTTAAAAATTGGGTATCATGTGTATTTAAAAAAATTGGGTATCATGTGTATTTAAAAAGTTGGGTATCATGTGTATTTAAAAAATTTGGTATCATGTGTATTTAAAAAATTGGGTATCATGTGTATTTAAAAAAAGGCTTAAATCTTGATTTCTTAGTTTTACTCCAGGCTGAGAATGTTCAAGACCATAGAACACCATTAATTCTTAAACTTGGATGCTTTAGGCAAATCCCCACATTTCTTTTTGATTTGATTTGCTACCTGACATTTTTTACTAGAAAAAAGTGTGTTTACATTGTAGTTAAATTGTGCTTGTATTTGGTCACCAAACCAGGGGGGGAGGTGACAGAGATGAAACATGATTAATTGATTGATTGATTTTATTTTTTTTATTTTCCACCAGGGCCTCTAGCTGTCACTTAAGACTTGAGTATAGATACTGCTCTCTCAAGGACAAACAGGAAAAGAAACTTATCGGGTTTTCTTTCCTCAATCTCATGCATCAGGGATTTAAAAAAAAAAATATATTACCCCCCCCCCCCCCCCCCCCAGCCCTATTTTATATTTCATTTTAAATTGGTAAAATGCTCTATCTTTTAGTAAGTGAAAAAATGAAGAAATTTTATAAAACAGTCAAGGTATTAGGATTTTTATGATCCTAATTTCTTTATAATATTTCAAAATTGTAGATTCTATAAATTTCATTTTTCCCAAGTTTTACTCAATCATGATATTTCAGGCTAAAACGAAAAAAGAATATGCATGGTTGGATATATCATTTTCATACTGTTGTTGAACATATCAATACAATCAAGATTTTAATTAAAATTTTTTATTTCTGATAAGCTTTTAAACAGCATGGATACACATCATTATGGAAACCAAAAGAAACTGTCTATTAACAGCTTCTCTTTGTTTACTTATAAATCTGTAATTTGAAATAAGCTTGTTAGACATCAAAAGTCGTCTTCAATGTATTGCTATAAACGCCGACGACTGTATATTGTTTTGGTTTTATAGTTTTTGGCAGAGAATGGTCTTGTCATTACTTGGTTATTTTCTTCACATAAATATAAAAAAATTATTCATTGATATTTGTTGCAAAAACTCCTTAGATTTTTTTTGTCTGATTTTTTTTAATGATAATCAGAATGAAACTGTGATTTGTGATGGAATACACGATCTACCGATCATCAGATGTGATCCTACCGATACCCTCCACCCTGCCATATACCTCGCAGCTTCAGAACAAGATCTTGAGTCGAACAGACAACTTAAGGAACGCAAAGTGCTTCTTCTAAATTTGAAAAAACTCACGAAAAAGAAAAAGTAAATAGTCTTCTAAAGTAAATAAGGGGAGGGGGACGGGGTGTTACCATTTATTTGCATAAATTTTATGAATTACTTAAAAATTTAAAGAAACCACAGTCAAATTAAAATATTAACATTTTATTTATCTTTGATTAATGCTTTTAAGGGTACCGTTGTGAATCAGTCATGCCATTTTTTTAAACGAAGAGTTTCTTGAAATTACGCCTTCAGACCTTTTAAGCATTTGTTTTGGCAATTTTTAGGAATATGTGAGAGTATCAACCCTCCTGTGTTCAACCAAATTAACCCAGAACCCGGACCTTATGCATCTTCTCAAATGGCGAAGTCATCAGGTTTAAATATCAAATCAAAAACAGTGAGAACCAGAAAACTGTAGAATAAGAAGACGACATTAAAGGAATACTGAAGTGGATTTGATTTTGTTACAAAGCAAAAAGTTTCACTAGTAGGTTAACAAATCTCTTATTAAGTTAATTGGTTTTGTTCACTCTGCACAATAACTGTGTCTCATGTTCATTGGTTTAAAGTCATAACTTTATTCTAAACGTCGTCTTCATATTATAGAGTTTTCTGGTTCTCACTGTATTCTATACATTAAGAAACATACATCAGTGAAATTATTCTCGTCTCGTTTTTCTTGTTTTTTCTTCTGTTGGAAAAATGAGGCAGATTTGCTGCATTTTCATGATATTTATAAAAGAATAAGATGGGTTTTCTGATTATTTTCGGACATGTGTTTTTTTTCTCTTAAATTATTTTTGGCATGTCCTCACACGACTTTAAGGCCTTTTTAAAAATAATGTTTTTCTATACTTCTTTAAAAAATGCACATTTTTATTTTTATTTTGTTTCTAGGACCGAATACCAGATATACTGACCAAGGTGATGAAAACACCCGGAGAGGAAATAGTAAAATTTCTTCAAGATATTCTTGGTAATTTATTTTAATCAACATTCGACAATATTGACCGATACAGCATTGTTCTTCGATAAAGTTTCGATAATATTTTTAGGGTTGTTCTGACATATTAGATTAAAATTGTGGTGGCTGGGTGAAATCAGTATTTTCATTATTGTTAGATTTAATGATTATTTTTTTATTATTATTCTCCGGTTTAATATTATCATTGTTAATAAATTTCATTATCAATATTGCAGAAAACATTTCAGGAAAAATGATAAATGTTATCTACATATTGTTTATGACAAGAAAAGTTTAATAATTTTTTTTACCACTTTGCAGCAGCACTTGTATACAAGGTATACTGTATATACAGGGGGTTCTAGACAAGTATATTGAGGATCACTTTGTAGCAGCACTTGTATACAAAGTATACTGTATATACAGGGGGTTCTAGACAAGTATATAGAGGACCACTTTGCAGCAGCACTTGTATCACTCTAGTGTTGTCTCAAATATTTTTGGATCATTTGAACTTTTTTTTTGGTACATTTCAACTATGATTTTGCTCCCATGAACTATTGTTTTGCTCATTTGTACTATATTTTTGCTCATTTGAACAACTTTTAGGCTCGTTTTAACTATTTTTTTCTTATATAAAATATTTTTTTGGCTCATTTGAACATTTTTTTATCATTTAAACTATTATGTTGATCATTTAAACTATTTTTTGACTCATTTAAACTACTGTTGAACTATTTTATTGCTCATTTGAACTATATTTTTGCTCATTTGAGCAACTTTTTGGCTCGTTTGAGTTATTTTTTTTCTCGTATAAAATATTTTTTTGGGTTTATTTGAACTATTTTTGGTTTATTTGAACTAATTTTTTTATCATTTAAACTATTATTTGGCTCATTTAAACTATTTTTTGGCTCATTAAAACTATTGCTTGGCTCATTTGAACTATTTTTTGTCTCATTTGAATTATTTTTGGTTCACTAGAAATATTTTTTGGCTCATTTTGAACTATTTTTATTAATAGTTCATATGTTCATTTGTATATAGTTCAAATGTGCAAAAAAATAGTTCAAATGCTTACAGAGTGTTATCGTTTGAACTATTAGTCATTTGAACTACTAAACACGTCGTACCACGTGCAATAGTTCAAACGACCAATAGTTCAAAAAGTCAAAAGTTCAAACGGAAGTAGTTCAAATTAAATAGCATCCTAACTCATAATTTCGAAATTTTCTAGATTTAAACATGCCTTTAAACATTTTGACACATTTTTGGAGAAATATTATTTATATTTTGTACCAGGGTTTAATGTCTTGTGTTAGACATTGTGCTGAGATAATGCCAAAGACGGACAAGCAGGACGCTATTAGGTACAAATTATAGCTCTTAAAGGGACTGTAAGCGTTTTTACGCACAAGTGTAAGAAATGCAAATTTAGTCGATTACATATTATAAATTCAAAACATTTTTCTTCAATATCTCTTTAATAAGATAAAAAATATTTGAAATTTCAATATTACGTGCATTCATCGTCTTGGCTGAATAAGGTTACAAGTTTCAGACAGGAATCACGTCAATCATAAATGATCCTCCCTCAATGCAAATTGATGGTAATACACTGTAAATTTTATGAATGGATATAATGTTATTGAATTTAGTATATCAAAATTTTTGAATTATTTAGTTACGATTTATTTATCAATTGCATTGCCAGTGATTTTAAATCTGTTTTATTGAATAAATTATTCAATAATTAGGACTTAAATGGCACCACATATAAGCATGCCTCTACAGCGCCACCTGGTTGCATTATTGCTTAATTTTTAATAAATTCATGCGCGAATTAAATTTGTTGAATATTTTATTCAAAAATAAGGATGGGATGTTTAACCGTGCACAGAAAAATTCAATATGAATGATTAGTGTTTTCAAAAGTTTTGATTAGCAAACATTTTTATATTGGGTTCATGTTAAAAATTTGCAGTGTGCCAGATTTGCATTTGTACCCTTGAAACCTTAGTCTGATCAAAAAAAAATTAAAACTTTTCTTTTTTATGTATCAACTATTTTCTCAACTAGGATGAAGTGTTTACTTTTGAAACAATTTCAGATTATTATTGAAAGTTTTCAGATATTCTGCGGTCAAAATGCATTTGACAGTAAAGTCTTTGCCACAAACTCTTATTTTCAAATCCCTATATCTTTGCAACCTAATGTCATAGACCTTAGATTCTTCAAACTATCAATTCTGTTAGATCAAATAATCTAAGTTTGAAATATCAAAGGTTTATACCATCAGGTTGCAAAGATATGAATTGAACTATTTTTAGGAAATGTTTCCAGTCCCTTAGTTATGTATTCAAGTTTATAGTCTCTAGTCGACAACTCTTCATTAGAGCGACAAGAGGTCAGAACGAAGACAGTTTTAGGTATGTAAAATATAACCCTGTACTACTTACTTAAACTTAAACTTTGAACATTTAGTAAGAGCTATTGTGAACGAAAAACCCCTAAATCTTAAAAAGACGACATCTAGTGTTCTATCTGTGTTGTTATTAATCTATGGATATATAGAATTAAACATGCCTCCTGTAAATTGAGGGTAACTTGAAATTACTACTATAGTCCCTTTAATGTTTAGGACAGATATACATCTGTTGTACAACTGCTTTAACAAGATGTTGATGGTTAATGCAGATAATGTTCTCCCGACCCAGGTCGTCTTCCTCAATAGTGTTGCGTCCATCTATCCATCTATCATCAAGGAAGAGATTTGAAAATAGATTTAGTTTAGCAATCTTTAATCTGAACTTTTTCAAGAGAAACATTTTATTTTTTATTTTTGTTTTTTTATTTCCATATTTTTAATAAAATTATGGCCGGGTCAATTAAAGTTTCTTTTTTTCAACTATTTTAAACTGAAGGTAATGCCGGTCCTGGACATCGTAAAGTTGACCAGCCTAACCCTAGACAGCCTAGGCCAGGACCGCTCCCAGTACCTGCTCAGAGCTGCTCTAGGAGCAGCTAGGGATGCTCTCAAGAGTGAGCTCTGGAAGGAGAGAAGCTGTAGATATTTACTTCTAACTCCAGCGATAAATCTAGTCAATCATCATTTACAAACAAGGTCATTTTTCAAACTTTTTTTCAATATTATTGTATCTAGTGATATCGCGATAAGTTGGTACGTTTTTTGGTTCGTTTTTTTAGGGATTTTGTCCTTTTGAAGGTTCTATTGATCTGATTGATTGATCAATTGGTTTGATTGGTACAAATGATATAATTAATGTGTATGATCAAACTGATGAAATTGATCTAATTGATCTAAATAATGTAATCGATGAAATTAATCTAATTGATCTAATTGAACTAAATGATCTAATTGATCTAATTGATATAATTAATATAAATGACATAATTGATATAATTAATCTAAACGATATAATTTATCTAATTAATCTGAATGATATAATTTATCTAATTGATGTAATTGAGGTAATTGAGGTAATTGAGGTAATTGATATGTTTGATCAAACTGATGAAACTGATCTAATTAATCTAAACGATATAATTTATCTAATTAATCTGAATGATATAATTTATCTAATTGATCTAATTGATGTAATTGAGGTAATTGAGGTAATTGAGGTAATTGATATGTTTGATCAAACTGATGAAACTGATCTAATTAATCTAAACTAATCTAATTAATCTAAACCGATATGATATTTTGATTATTTTGAGAACGTTGATGAATTTGATCTGATTGTTTAGGAGAGAGGTTGAGACCTGCTCTATACTACTCCTTGAGCTGGTTAACTCCTTGTACCAGGAGAGGGAAGAGAACAGGGACAATGAGAAGGCAGGGTCATATGTTTATAAAAATATAAACCCCCCCTCTCAAGTCCCCCCCCCCCCCCGGGAAATATTATTTTGAATATGGGGGGGGGGGAATGAAAAATTGGACATGAAACGGCAATGTTTCTTCACTCTTTTTAATTCTTTTTATCCTAAAGTTTATTTATTTTTTCCAGTTCAGCGACTGAAATCTCATAAATGGTAAAACTTCTTAGGAAAAAAAAATTTTCAAAAAGAGTGGGCCGGGGGGGGGGAAATGATTTTTCGATAAAATATACATTTTACATTTACACTCCTGAATTCTGTGTAAATGTACATTTTACACCCCTGAATTCTGTGTAAATGTACATACATTTTACACCTCTGAATTCTGTGTAAATATACATTTTACACCCCTGAATTCTGTGTAAATGTACATTTTACATCCCTGAATTCTGTTTAGAAATTTATTTTACACCCCTGAATTCTGTGTAAATGTACATTTTACACCCCTGAATTCTGTGTAAATGTACATACATTTTACACCTCTGAATTCTGTGTAAATGTACATTTTACATCCCTGAATTCTGTGTAGAAATTCATTTTACACCCCTGAATTCTGTGTAAATGTACATTTTACATCCCTGAATTCTGTGTAGAAATTCATTTTTATACCCCTGAATTCTTTGTAAATATACATTTTACACCCCTTAATTCTGTGTAAATATTCATTTTGCACCCCTAAATTCTGTGTAAATGTACATTTTACACCCCTGAATTCTGTGTAAATGTACATTTTACACCCCCTGAATTCTGTGTAAATGTACATTTTACACCCCTGAATTCTGTGTAAATATTCATTTTACACCCCTGAATTCTGTGTAAATGTACATTTTACACCCCCTGAATTCTGTGTAAATGTACATTTTACACCCCTGAATTCTGTGTAAATGTAAATTACATTAAAAAGGGGGGTTAAATCTTCTCAGAGCTGATGTGTACCCCAATAGAGGGGGCAGGGGGGGGCACTTTTAATATATATTATGTACCCCTTGGAGATGGAGGAGGAGAAGGAGAAGTTAGCTGTAAAGGAAGGAGATGGAGCTTCTTGGTGGAAGGATGTTTATATATTTGCCGAGGCTGCTATAGGTGATACTTTAATTAATCAAATATTTTAAAGTAAATCTGAGAGGAAGTGATTATTTTCCACGCAATGTTTTTATCTCTATTTCCTTGTAACCGGATAGATCTTTTATATTTTAGGTTTTGATTATTGTATCTAACAGAATATATAGTATGAAATATAAAGATCTAGGAGATCAGGTTGCAAAGATATAGGCATCAGATAAATACTGAATTGGGCGAGTAATTGGTTCTATTAAATTATAAAATTTCTCTTAAAAATCATTTTTAAGTAATGAAAAAAAAGAAAATTTTAAAAATTCATAGTTCAGGAATTTTTTGCTGATACATTATATTATGTACCGTGTGTGTATTATTATTATTATTAATACTATTATTATTATTTTTATTATTATTATTATTATTATCATTATTATTATTATTGCTATTATGATTGTTATTATTATTATTATTATTATTATTATTATTATTATTATTATTATTATTATTATTATTATTATTATTATTATTATTATTATTATTATTATTATTATTATTATTATTATTATTATTATTATTATTATTATTATTATTATTATTATTATTATTATTATTATTATTATTATTATTATTATTATTATTATTATTATTATTATTATTATTATTATTATTATTATTATTATTATTATTATTATTATTATTATTATTATTATTATTATTATTATTATTATTATTATTATTATTATTATTATTATTATTATTATTATTATTATTATTATTATTATTATTATATGAACTCTGTGCACAGGCACTCTCCATGGAGGGATGTCCCCCTCCCCCAAATCCACTCTTGTAGTCTACTATACTCTATAATATATTAAACATAGATTAGTTTAAGTTTTTGCATTCATTGCAAGTGTCAAGTCAATTTGCCATTTAGTTTCAAGTTCAAACAACTTAAATTTGTCATGAGCTGATTTGGATTCATGAATGTTGGAAGAATTTTAATTTATTATTTTTTAGCAAAAGTAGCATTTCAACATTAAAAGGATTGTAGACACAACTTCTATCTCTGTAATAATGAGAAAGATATTATCTAGAAGAGTGCAGAGAAATTCTAACAATTTCCTTCTTTGTCTCTTAAGCATAAAACCGCAAGTCCATTTAACAGAAAACCCACAATTAGTTTTAAGCTAGAACTATATAGATATCTCAGTCATCCATAGTCAGACAATGGGTTTAAGGTGCCGTTTTGAATCATACACGCAAATCGGTAAATGGAATTATGTCTACAGAGCTAAAAGAATTGTACGGATCGCTTAATCTGAATACTAAAATCTAATAACCATCTCTTAATCTGAATATCCATTGTGGACACTTAATTTCTGCATAATAGGCTCTTTTTGGGTATCCCTTCCTGATATGCTTAGGTCCTTCAACTGATTCTGATTGCTTAGGTCCTTCCATTGATCCTGATATGCTGAGGCATCTTAATTGATCCTGATACGCTTAGGTCTTTCCATTGATCCTGATACGCTTAGGTCCTTCAATTGGTCCTTCCATTGATCCTGATATGCTGCGGCCCTTCAATTGATCCTGATACGCCTATGTCCTTCAATTGGTCCTTCCATTGATCCTGATATGTAAAGCGCTGAAAACTAAAGACTGAGGAGGATACCTGCCCCACTAGTTCGGCGCAGCTGACACCCCTTACTTTCTCTATCCCGGGCCGGTATATTATTTATCATTTATATTTGTCTAAAGCAAAATTACATTAAACAATATAAAAGTTTACAAACTAATAGGTTATAGATCTAAAC